CAGGGGACCTTTGTGCATATTAAAGTAGCCCAGTGCCACGGACACAACAATAGTTAAGGCCTTCCTATGACCTTCTAGAACAACCTTCAGCAACTTACTGGTCAGCAGCATAAAGAAGGAACTAGAGGGTCTTAGAATTGGAAAGGAGCTTATTTGTCCATTAGTTTTCTAATCTCTGTTGCCTGGAGTTAGAAATACATCTACATCACAACCTAGCATGCACACACACACATCCATAGCTATAGACTACACATATATATAGATATGTAGTTGAAAACAAAGTTTCACAAAACAATAATACCCTTACTATGTGCAATGCACTTTTTTTAAATGTATTTGCGGAATAAGAGAAATTATATGTCTGGAAGCTCCTAAATCCCTTGTAATTTCCTAGGTGATAAGAGCATGAGGAGCATCTTTTGTTCTAACATTTGGTCTTTGACCTCATCCCTGACACAGAGCTCCTAGATCTTTTGGAAATTCCTAGGTGATAGGAGTGTCTTTTGTTCTAACGAGGACTCTTGGTGGGCTTCTGGATGGGGGCTCATCACAGAAGACGAAGGCATGATTAGAAGCTTGGAAGTTTCCACCCCACCCTCTGTCCTCTGGGAGGGGAGAGGGATAGAAGTGGAGTTAATGATCAGTCAGGCCTATGTGATGAAGCCTCCAGTAACATCCCAAAGGTACGGGGTTCGGAGAGCTTCAGGTTGGTGAACACATCTACACCCCAACTCCATGGGGACAGAAGCTCCTGCACTCAGGCCCCTTCTGGCCCTCGCCCTATGTATCTCTTCTTCTGGCTGTTCATCTGCATCCTTTATTATATCCTGTATTGTATAATAAACCAGTAAACATAAGTGTTTCCATGAACCATTTAGTAATTTATTAAACCCGAGGAGGGAGTCATGGGAACCCCGATTTATAACTGGTCAGTTAGAAATACAGTTGACTGGAGCCAGCCTGGTGGCATAGTGGTTGAGTTCACGTGCTACATTTTGGTGGCCCAGGGTTCACAGGTTTGGATTCTGGGCACGGACCAATGCACCACTCATCAACCATGCTGTGGTGGTGTCCCACATGCAAAATAGAGGAGGATTGACAGATGTTAGCTCAGTGACAATCTTCCTCAAGCAAAAAGAGGAAGATTGGCAACAGATGTTAGCTTGGGGCCAATCTTCCTCACAGAAAAAAAAAAAAAGAAAGAAAGAAAGAAACACAGGTGACTGGTGACTTAAGTCTTGTGGGACTGAACCCTGAACCTGCAGGATCTGATGCTAACTCCAGGTACATACTGTCAGAACTGACAGAACTGGATTGAATTATAGGACACCCAGTTGATGCTGCAGACTGTTTTGATGTGTGGAAAACCCATACATCTAGTGTCAGAAGGTTTGTGAGTGTGGTAGTATTGTGAGTGTAAAGGAGAAACATGGGGAATGTTTTTCCCAGACATATTCTATTTCATTAAAATATATATATATATAATACTGGTCATAAACCAATACATTGATTTTACTAGATCTAACACACTTCCTTCCATTTGATACGTTAGGAAACAGAGGCTCAGGAAGCGCAGTGACTTGCCCCAGGCAACACAAAGCCAGGACTCAGGCTTTTCAGGACACTGGCAGATTTTGCGTAGGAAGCCCTAGGCAAAAATCAAAAAGCATCCCTGGCATACTCCCAGAGAATTCTGCACTCCTGTACATTCTCAAGCCTGTGGGCCAGTACCTGCTGGTGAAAAAACTGACAAAGCACGTGTGTGACGGGTTATGTGCAGTAGTCATTTTAAAAACACAGGTTCTTTCAAAAATGCAAATGAAGTCACTTTAATACCTCTACCTGAATGCCCTCAGTGGCTCTTTGCAGTTTTCAGGCCAAATACAAATTCTCAGTGTGGCAATAAAGGCTCCCCCAGACCTGGCCCTGGTCCTGCCAGCCTCACTCTTTACCACTTCCCCATGCGCACCTTCAAGGTCTTGCTTCCACTCTTGACCTGGCTAAATCCCGTTTTTCATGGCTCCACTTGCACTCCTCTCCTGCGAACCTTCCTCTCCTCCGCCACAGCACGTGTCTCTCCGTCCCTGAATCTTCTCTGCTGGATGTGACAGTCTTATGAGCCGGGATCAGGTCTTTCCGTTTGCTGGCCCTGTTGGCCCTGGCACCCAGCCGACAGCTCAGGACACAACAGGGCCTCAATAAGTATCTGCTGAAGCAAATATTGGCAAATTCTTACTCTCAAATTTTAATCTTAAAAAACCCCAACTCTCTGGAATACCGGCCCTCTGAATTACGTAAGAGCTGGTTTTGATAATGCAGACCACCATTTCCTATTATCTTAAGAGTATGAATAGGGGCCGGCTCCATGGCCGAGTGGTTAAGTTCGGGTGCTCTGCTGCGGCCGCCCAGGGTTCGGATCCTGGGCGCGGACATGGCACTGCTAGTCAGGCCGCGTTGAGGTGGCATCCCACATCCCACAACTAGAAGGATGTGCAACTAAGATATACAACTGTGTACAGGGGGCGGTTTGGGGAGATAAAGCAGAAAAAAAAAAAAAAAAAAGATTGGCAACAGTTGTTAGCCCAGGTGCCAATCTTTGGGAAAAAAAAGAGTATGAATAAAAACTATACCTATCTTGGGAGAAACGGATGCAAAAACCCAGTTTTGACTTCTTTTTTTCTCTTTATTTTAAAAAATTTTTGTTGAGGGGTGGTTTTGTCTTTTTAACCTCTGGCCTGTAGGCTGGTACCAATGATCAACACAGCCTCTGCCCCTCCACTGGTGGCTCAAAGAACTAGTCCTCCTGCCTGAATCCCCAGACTGAGAGCTCCCTGGATCACTCACGGGGTGGGGGGGGGGGGGGCGGGTGGCGGAAATAGCCACTCTTCTGTGCACGCACCGTACAACGTACCAAAGACAAAATGGGTCAGTATGTAAGTTACTTACCATCCGTCATAGAAGGGGAAGAAATCAGAGTGAATAAGAGACAATTAAATGCTACTATGACTAAACACCGTGAGCAATGAAGGGGGAGGCCGACCAGGGGGAGCTGCGGAGGTCAGAGATAGATTTGTAAACCCGAGAATGCTGTAGACTAGGTTGAGAATTGGGAAGAGGGATGCGGAAGGAAGCCTTTCCAAGTGGGAACCGGCATGAGCAATGATCAGATAAGGATGATCAAGAGCCCAGTCAAGAGCCCATCTGCAGTGGGGAGGAGGCAGGCATGAAATGAGGTGAGAAGGTCTAGGTATGCCAGCATCCCGACCAATTACTCGTGATCCCCGACTCCAGGCAGCATTATGCTGGCTATGAAGCACATTCAGATTTCCTTAACCCATTTTGTTCTTCTTTCTGCCCTTGTCAGGAGAGTGGGATAGATGTTGTGGGCTTTTTATTATAGAAATGGCAAAAGACTAAAGGAGATTAAGAAAATTAGCCCAAGTCACACAGCTAGCAGCTAATCAGACTCACAGCAGAGATCTTTAGACCTCTCCCTATTTCACAGACCCAAGATTGGAGAGGGCCTCACAAGTCTCACAGCTAAACTTCCTCATTTTGCAAAGGAGGAAACTGAGGACCAAAGTGCTGAAGCCGTTTTTTCCAAGGTCCCCCAAAAGGAGGTTGGCTGGCTGCAGCTCTAACCAGCCCTACTTCTGACTGAAGGTGTTTGCATGCTACCAGCTGGAGAGGAAAGCCAGAGGGAAAATCCCCACGCTGCACAGGAAGTACTGCTACTTTGACAAAACAAAATGTTTGCTAATGTTTTAGAATGGTCGGGATAACAGTCTATTATATAACTGCATTCTTAAAAATGGAAATTTTTATCAACTAAAAAAAATTTTTTTTTTAAGATTGGCCCTGAGCTAACATCTGTTGCCAGTCTTCCTCTTTTTGTTTTTTCTTCCCCTCAAAGCCCCCCAGTACATAGTTGTATATTCTAGTTGTAGGTCCTTCTGGTTGTGCAATGTGGGACATCGCTTCAGCATGGCTTGATGAGCGGAGCCATGTCTGTGTCCAAGATCCCCAGAAGCGGAGCTGGGAACTTAACCACTCGGCCACGCGGGGGGGGGGGTGGGGGGTGGGGGGGGGGGCTAAAAGTTCAAGTGAAAAACATTCTAAAAAAAAAAAGAGCTGCCTGAGGAGAGGGATATTTCTGGCGAGGCAGGTTTCCACCACCTACTGGAGCTCCTCAGAACTTTTTTCTGCCACGGATGAATTTTCAGGTCTTCAACAATTACAGAAAAAATTTTTTTTTAACTTTTTGGAAAAAGACTACACATTGGCCCCAAACTCATAAACTATTATCATCTCAGAATCTTTTAGCAAAACATAACTAATATTTTCAGACAAGTACATCATCCAGATGACACATTATTTTACTTTTTTTTTTTTTACCCCAGAAATGGCCTGGCTTGAAAAAAGACTTGCTGAGAATCTGTGTTTACATTAGGGAGAGTGGGGGAAAATCCCTTGCAGAAGTTGAAAAGATGTTAAGTGGTAAATGCCAAAATGCCCAGCCAGCATGTAAGCAGGCTCTCATCCCAGCAAGAATACGTGCAGCTCAGCGTTTTCACATTGACTTTTAGCTTTTCTAGCAGTTTGAATTAACCCTTCCTCTCCTTCCGCTCCCTCCGTGAGGGATCCGCCTGGACCCACAGACCGGAAGCGCGTGGGTTTTCCGCGATCCGCCAGCAGAGGATCCCCAATGTGGGCAGCCGCGCCAACGGCCGCCTCCTAGGCTTTCTTCCTCTCCGGGGTCTGGGGGTAGTGCCCGGACAAGAGTTAGGAAGAAAGTCCAGCTTGCTGGATCTAGACACAGAAGTGGAAAAGGCCTGTTGGGAGACGAAAGCCGTACAAACAAATGGCACACAAGGTTTTCCAGGAGCGCGTGCCGCCGAATCACCTGTTTGAGAAGGTGGCGCCCAGCGTTTGTACCTGTAAAAGATCCTCAGGTGATTCTAAAGTGCATCCCTCCCGGACAGACACGAATCTAGATGCTCTAAAAAGCCAATGCGTGTTTATCTTAGTTTCAGCCCTTAGCAAGTTAAAATGAAAAACAAAACAAGCATCCTAAAACCAAAAGTTCTTCCAGATTATACTCTTAATACCTTACTGGCTGTTAAACTTACTGACAGACTGGGTGGATAATAGTCAAACATAAGAAAGGTGAGCATTTAATGAATATTTGTATAACACTTTACAATATTTTCTTGTGCATTAGTGATCTCACATGGTTCTCACAGCACCCCTATAAGGTAGCTTGTTATTCTCATATTAAAGATGAAGAAAACAAGTCTCAGGGACATGAGAGAATGACCTGGAAGTGCCCTAATGATGCCAGTATTTCTATTACTGATTTCGATTCATTTTGTGCTATTTAAAGTGATTTGTGCCTTTGGAGGTGCTTCTTCTAAACACACAGTAGGTCAGCTGCTGCAGATATTTGCTTCCAAGGGAAAAAAACCCATGTCAAAATCGTGGAGAGCTGAGATCTTGCACGGTATTGGTCCTGTTAAAACCAGGGTCGGCCTCGTAAACTCCAGCGCTCTTCATGCCACATTTCTAAGCTCTCTGGCTCAGTAGAAGAGTCTGAAGAACAACAAGAAAGCCAAGAGAATAAAGGAAAGTTAACTGAGCAGTAAAGATTTATTGCAAGAATATCAGTTCTAAAATAAAACCAGCCAGTCCTGCAGTTGGGTGAGTGTTATTATGGCAAAGTAAATGCTTCCTAGATGACTGGTGCTGGTTGGTTGGAAAATTAAAAAACGAGTCAGTGTTCAGCCTATTAGAGATGAAAGCAGACCTAATATATGGTGGGGCCACCAGGTTCGATGTATCTTTGAGATACCAGGATCTTTTAACAGCAAAATATTCAGTGCAGGCTTTTCTCTTTACCTTGTTGATTGACGTTTCATTCATCCTGAGAGGCTGCTCCGGCATAACTCAGAGGTAGATGCAGCCCAACAACTGGCCCCACAAGGCTCAGCCATGACGTGATGTAGTTGACGTTCCTGGGAAACAATGAAAATACAGGCGATTCCAATGTTTTCGTTGTAGTTTGGATGAATGGTAGAAAATCAGCTACCAACAGTAAAAGAAATGAGGCTTTCTTCAAAGATGTGTGCCCACCGCTCGGAATCCTGGCATTTCCAAATGCCAGGCCCACTGCTTGACAAGGACTCGAGGTCCAAAGAGACTGTGAGGATCCCTCACTACGGTAGTTTAAGGAGGAGTCACAGCACTAGGGCCCCTGACTCCCCTTGATGATTCCAAGTTTACCCTTAAAATGCGCAGCGTTTGCTAGGGTAGTGGAGTGCGCTGGTTCAGAGCATGGCTCCAAGGCAAAAATGCCTGGGGTCTAATCCCAGCTCCACCACTTGAGGAGCTGTGTGACCTTGGCAGAGTCATTTCACCCCTCTGTGCTTCAGCTTCCTCCTCTGTAAATTGGATAAAATCATGGAACTTAGCTCACAGAGGCCTTATAAAAATCCAATGCATTAATATATATAAAATACTTAGAACTGCACCGAGCACACAGTAAAAATCAATAAATGTTAGGCATTATTATTATTACAAAAATATTTCTTTTTCAGCTTAGCTTTTAAAGTCACATAAAAAGATTTATACTTTTAAAATAAGAGTAAAAGCCAATGTATCTTGATGGTATTTCTTACCTATTGATTTTTCGAGAATTCTTTAGCACAGGAGTCATGAATTCATTCGTCTTGCAGGGATGAAGTACAAAAAAGGGCTGCCCAAGTATTGGATGCTCCTGTAAGAATCAGAGTTGGTCCAGGATTGCCAGTGTGAGTTACATTGAAAGAGTTAAAACACATAATCTGGTTTACTGCTTTAAAATAAAGCTTTTTTTTAAATTCCAAGTTATTAAATTAAGACAGAGAGATTTCAGCTTTGAAATGTAATTCATAATCCAAACACAAAAAGAAGCTGGCGACAGGAGTTCTGCACTGGTAGGTGTCATCAAGTACAGGAGGGGACGTGGTTTGTTTACACGATACGAACTGTCGATAAATTTTGTCCATTCCATCTAACTCTTTGTCAGCTAGCGTTCCTCTCTGGCCGAATTATTCTTCAGTTTTTCCTCAAGGATGTCTGAAAGTCCAGTAGCCTGACCGCCATCTGAACAATGTGCTTCATTCACTTCTTTGTTAGTGGTAAGGGGACCAAAATCATTTGCACATTTTTCTACATGAATTTTATCAACATGTTAATTGTTTCAGGCCTAAGTGCATTCAGTGCCAATGGGCACTTGTTCAGTGGATAGAAAAGGGTGGGGGAGAATAGCCTCCATTATTTAAATTGTTCTACTTCTGTCTGTCTGTCTCTCTTTCTAAGTTTCTCTCCTTCCGTCTCTCCCAAGCTCATAGGGCTGTTTCTATAAGTGAAAAGGCCATATGATGGAACTCTACTGTCTTTGCAAGAGAATGAGTGGATATAAGATGCAGGTCAGACTGCTGCCAGGTTAGGGATGTGGACATCATTTGGCAAGCAGTGGGAGCCCTAGAAGGTCTCGACATGGTGAGTGATCTCTGCACAAATTCTACCAACACAAAAACAATTATTGATGATATATTTATCGATCGTTTACATTGTGGATTAACCATGTTGCCAGAGATTGCAAACTCAAATATGGCTATGATCTGAATGTTTGTGTCCCCCAAAATTCATATGTTGAAATGCTAATTCCCGGTGTGGTGGTATTAGGAGGTGGGGCCTTTGGGAAGTGATTAGGTGATGAGGCTAGAGCCCTCAGGCATGAGATTAGCGACCTTATAAAGAGGCTCCAGAGAGCTCGCCTGTCCCTTCCTACTCTGTGAAGACACAGAGAAGTCCGTGACCTGGAAGAGGGCCCTCATGAGAACAGGCTGGCACCCTGATCTCAGACTTCCAGCCTCCAGAACTGTGAGACATAAACTTCTGTTGTTTATAAACTACCCAATCGGTACTATTTTGTTGTAGCAGCCCAACTAGAGTAAGACAAATACCTAGGAAGACCAGGCAGGTGACCTGAAGGAGTGAGGCCAGTTAAATACACCAGCAGGTGATGGGGACTGTGGAGACCAGGGAAGGCACCCAGCCGAGGCTGTGCCTGCCACACTGTTCCAGCCAACTGTGCCATGTGGGAATGCAGGTTTAGTGTGCCAGGTCTTCCCATTTGTCAAAATAATCTAGAAATCCAGATTTTTATGTAAAACTTCCTAAATTTAAGTGTTGGCACTTTTTTTTTTTTTTTTTAAATATGGTGTGGGCCAAATAAAACAAGTCTTAGGCTGGATTTGGACTACGTGCTGCCTAGCTTCTTCTCCTCTTCTCAGCCAGTCCAAGGAGAAGCTGCACTCAGAGCTGTCTGTGGGAAGATTATGTGTGGTTGGCCCTGCAGCCCCCACCCTCCAACCCGAAAGCTTTCATGTCTGCACACAAGTGCACACACCACCCACAAGAAATGGGAGGGACAGTTCCACTTGTACTGGAGACACTAGGTGTGGAGACTTGGCGTGTATGTGTGTGGTGAGGGTTGAGGTATCCACTGGGTGTGGGTCGGTGTATGTCGCCCCAAGTGCCACCTCCAGATGTCTCTGCCCAGAGACCTGATTGGTACAGCAGAGCCTGGGCTCCCTCTCTCCAGCTCACCCTATGCCTCATTCCCTTTCTGGACAAGACCCTGGTGTCACAGGCCAGATGTGTCAGGTCTATAGCAAGTCCTCCTGTCCAACTGGATTCTGGCTTCCCTCACCTGCCTTAAACTAACACTTATTAATTCAGCACATCCCTACTGATCATCTCTTATGAGTCTGCCAGGAACGGTTTTGGATATAGTTATAGAGATCACTGTATCTCAAAGATAAACAGGGTCCCTGATCCCATGGAACTTACATTCCAGTGCAGGAGACAGCCAATTAATACAGAACAAATAAATAAACAAGATAATCCAGATAATAATAGTCAGTGCTATGAATGACATAACACAGGGTAACATGATTCTGGAGGGACTGTGGTGATATTTAGATTTGGTGAAAGGGAAGCCCTTACTGAAGAGGTGATCTTTAAAGAGATCAGAATGGCAAGAAAAACCCAACCATGCAGAGGTCTGGGGCAAAGTGTCGGAGGCAGAAGGTCATAAAGGGAAATGAGCAAGGAAACATGCGTAGGAAATGCAAAAGGATTTCAGAATTATCCTGCACTAAAATAATTACTGTTTAGAGGGTTGCAGCCTCCCCTCCTCTCCAAGACTCGCCCTCCCTTTGGTGTGCCTTGAACACTTGGTCACTTTCACACTCATGGGGCAACTCCTCCAGCTTTAAACACTCGAGCCCATGCTTCCTGTAGCTGAGGTGGAAGGGACTACTCACACAAGACTCTACCACAAGTGTGGAAATACTGAAAGTGTAGTTAACACGCAAAGCTATGGGCTCTTAAAGGTCCAAAGTGTTACAGTAGTGGGGCTCCCAGGCCCATTGGAGTCATGTGAGATACTAGGAAGCGATCTTGCCTGGGCCTTCCCTTCCTGGCCTACATGGCGGATGGAAGCACTCACAGCCACCACCAAGAGTGTCCTCCAAGAATCTTAACCCCTCACTGTTCAGTTTCCTTAAGGAGTTGGTGACTCTTGTGAAGAATGGCTTTATAACACTGTCAAGACCTTGCCTCTTCCTTTAGGACTATGGCCGAACCTTTACAAGACTCCAAAAGAATAACAATATCAGAGTATAATATATATCCACTCTTGGATACAGACAGACTTAAAGTCCAGGAGATCATTTCCTAAGCAGATGTAGCCCAATGCCACACTGCAGTTCTGCTCATTTGATGCTGCTTAGTAAAGACTTGGACTTGACTTCTACAAGTCATCTTTTACGCAGTCCATATTGCAAGTGAATAAGAGCAGGCATGGGCTCTGCAGTTAAGACTGGAGTCACTTCCTACTCCACTAGTTAGCAGCTGTGAGCTTTTCAGGCAAACCACTTAACCATTTTATGTCTTTGTTTCCTCATCTAATAACTGGGATTAATGATAGCATCTATTTCATAGATTGATTGTGGTCCTTCAATAAGAAAATGCCAGAAAAGTGTTCAAAACAGTGTCTGGCACATAGTAAGCACTTAGTTCACTATTATTAGTCAACCCATTGATATCTAAACAGACAAGGATAATAACACTCAGACATCCACAATATGGTCTGTGATACCCTATAATAAAGGCCAATTTCAATATCTAACCTCATCAAACAAAACATAGAGTTATTCAGCATGGTAAAAACATCACTGCCTGGTATCTAAATGTCTAGGAACATTTGACAACTGATTATAACCACAGGGAAGAGAAATCTGAGTTAGGAAAAAGTCTAGGTATATATGGCAACTGGTACTATCAATATATTGGTATATAGGACAAATTAATGGAAAATAATTTAAATGAATTTAAATTAAAATAAAAGCCCATGCACTTCAAAAACACTTCAGTAATCTAAAAGATTTTAATATTCATTGTCCTTCAAATAACATAAAAAAGTCATATTAGCATTTAAATCATATTAAGTCACATTAGCATTAAGTTCTAATAAAATTAAATGCATGGTAATGCTCATGTGAACACCTTTTTTTTAAAAAAAGAGACTTTCATGCCTTAGAAGAGCTTTTAAAAAAGCTTAAACATTTCTGTAATGCAGGTTGGCTGCCTGAAAAAAGGTAAAACTTAAAATTCTCTATTCTTCATTATATTAAGAACTTAAATCTATGTAACTAGACAGAAGATATTAAAACAAAATGACTGTCTTTAAAAATCAAAAGTTTAAATTTGATTTTAAAATAAAAGCTATATTGTTTTGGTAAGATGCTTTTAGTTTTAAAAAGTCAAGCTATGATATGCTTATCAACTTAAAATAGGAATTATTATAAGGCATATTTGTGTAATCTTTTAAGAAATGTTTCATACATAAATAACAATAGGAGTGGACTTCCAGCTATAGTAAAATGAAGAGATCAGCAAATCCTCTCCCCAAAAAACAAGTATAAAATGGAACAAAATTGTCAAAAGCCAATCATTTCTGGACTGTGGAAATCAACAAGAGGCAAATAAAAAATGTGACAAGTGTTTAATTCATGAAAAGCTGCCAGAACTTCAAGTTAGACACAGAAAGTCTGCAGCCTTCTTGCCTAGAAACATTCCCATAGCCTCTCCCAGCTCCACCCTCGCTCCATCAACAGGGAAGTTCTACCAGAGTGGAGCTGACCATGAGAACCAATAGCTGTGCTGCCAGCAGGGCTGACTTGATCTCCAACAGATGGCAACAACTACACCCAGTGGCACAGGTAATAAAAACAGCAAAATACGGGGGCCAGCCCTGTGGCCGAGTGGCTAAAAGTTCCACATGCTCTGCTTCAGTGGCGTAGGTTCATGGGTTCAGATCCCAGCAAGGACCTGCTCCACTTGTCAGCCATGCTGTGGAGGCATCTCACATGCAAAGTAGCGGAAGACTGGCACAGATGTTAGTTTGCTCAGGGCTAATCTTCCTCAAGCCAAAAAAAAAGAAAAAAAAGACGAAGATTGGCAACATTTGTTAGCTCAGGGTGAATCTTCCTCACCAAAAAATAAATAAATAAAAAATAACGATAGCAAAATTGGTACTAAATGAAAAGAAAAAACTGCAGCTCTGCTAGCCAGATGTTGCAGCCCCAGTTGAGGCAAGCAGCGGACCAGCCAGAAATTTAATGGGGAGATTCTGGAGACAAGACAGTTGTGGAGGGGCTAGGA